GGGGGGGGGGGGGGCGAGGGTGGTGCCTCCGGGTGAGACGTCCACTCACCCTGTCAATGCCTGCCTGTCTGCTCATGGGAGGAGGCTTAAACTGCACTTTCCTTCCTACGCAACCCCCATAGAAGTTTCTTTGGCCCAGCTATTGAAGCAGAAACTCCGTCATGGCCTCCAACAGCCGAAAGCCACATCTGATGGGAAGGGACTTTGGTTTCTTAGACCACAGTGTGTGGGTGGTCCCTGCAGATGAGTCAAGCCCCAGGACTGTGGCCTAGGCATGTTTTTAAAAATCCCCTTGAGTGGTTTAATGTATATCCAAGACCGAGAAGCTCTGAGGCATCTCCAACCACTGCACAGACTGTCCTGAGATTCAGAAACATCTTGACTTTAATGGACACTGTTTTCAGGAAAAAAAAAAAACTCCTAATCAAATTCATAGTGTTTTTAACAACCAGAAAGAGAGAGCAATCTGTACCTAGCTCTTGCCCACCTGATCTTTATCTGATATGACTCTCTATGGCCTTGCATGCCCTGCTACATGGAGAACTACATGGTTGAAATCTTTCTCCCTGTGGTGCCTGCCCCTCCCTGCCCCCTCCCAACCCCAGGTCCCTGCTGTCCCCACAGAGAAGAAGCTGGAGGAGTTCTCAGTGGAGGAAGCCCAGGTCCTACAGATCCTCACACAGGTCAACGTGGTGCGGAGGGAGTGTGAGATTGTGAGTGTCGGGGAAGGGGTTGGTCCTCGGGGACCCAGGGTGCTTCCTCTAAGGTGGCAACCCCTGTGATGGCCTCTTCCCTCCCCCTACTCCTTCCCCCCTGCCCAGAAACTGGAGGCGGCCAACTTCGATGAAAAGAAGGAGATTAACAAGCGGAAGCAGATGATTCTGGAGGGGAAGGTGAGGGCTGGTGGAGCCGTCCGTGTGGTAGGGGCAGGGCGCAAGGGTCTCCGGGGAGGACAGTCAGCTTAGCCAGCTTCCGGTCCTCCCTGTGCCAGGACCCCGACCTGGAGGCGAAGCGCAAGGCTGAGCTGGCCAAGATCAAGCAGAAGAACCGGCGCTTCAAGGAGAAAGTTGAGCAAACACTGCAGCGGCAGAAGGCCAACAGGGCTGACCGCGGGGGGCGCCCGCCCAGGGCCCGGCCTGAGGCCTCACTGTGCTCAGCACCCGCTCAGGGTTCAGCCTGAGTTCCGCACAGCGCCCACTCGCCTAGCCTGGGACTCCTCCATCAAGCGGAGGGTTGGAGCGCCCTCCCCTGAGGACAGGACCCTCTGCCAGCCTGCCCAGTGCCCCTCAGCAGAGCCCGCTGACACCCACGTACAGTGCACAGCCCTCCACCCTGCAGCCTCTGGCGGCCCCTTCCAGAGCCTTGGCCAAGAGGTGGGCTGCTGAGGAAGGAAGAACACTGGCTATGAGGTTGGGCCCCAGTCCACCTGGGGTACAGTGACCCCAGCTGTGTGATGAGCAAAGGTGTGTCACTTGTAGGAGGTGCTTAATAAATGAGTCTTTCAACTTCTGCAGTCTGACTCTGGGGAGCAGGGGCAGCAAGAAGAAGGTGTGGCTGCCTGAACTTCTCAAGTCCCCTGGAACATCATGTTGCCACCCTACCCACTAGTTCTCCTTTCCTGTCGGGCCAGGCCCAAAGCTTTGGACTGTAGTGTTGACCATTCCAGCTGAGTGACCTTGGGTGGGTGAAGTCCCTTATATGGGCCTCAGTTTCCTCATCTGGAAAATGGGTATAGCAACCGCTCTACTATCCGGATGTAGACATGATGTTTTGGAGAGATCGTTTCCATGCCTAGTGAACACAGCCACATTCTAGGAGCTTCCCCACTTGCCCACTTGGTTGTACTTGGGGTTTGTGGCCAGAGTGAAGTGAAAGTGGGGGGCTTAATCAGGGTCCATGTTAGTCCAAACTGGTCCAGACAACATGGGCAGGGCTTAAGGAGATGGGGAAGCAGAGACGTGTCCTGGACATGCTCCCTCAGGCTTTCTGAACCTCACCCTCTTAAGTGGCTTACCAAACCCTACACAGACTGAGGGCAGATGGATAGAGGGTCCAGTGATGGTGGTTAGGTATACCCGGCTGCTCAGACACCACACATACACAGCCACGCTTAGAAATGTAATTTGGGCACCAGCACGCACCCTGGGGAGTCTAGAAATTCTACACAATGAAAAGCTCAAAAACAGCCTCTGAGCTGTGAACAGCCAGGGCCGGCTGGAGTCCTGTGGACAAGCCCTCCCCAGGCTGAGTCGGGCCCCCGTCCCTGCCAGGGGGCTTGGCCCACTGTGCCGCCTGCGGCCTGGCCTGTGCCCCAGGCGGGAGTCGTTAGTGTAAAACCAGCTCCCACAGGCCCCTTCTATGCAGACCCGGAGGCCGGACTCAGGGCGCGCCCTCGGCCAGGCGGGCCAGCCCCTCCCGCAGCTCGCTCAGCTCAAACAGCCTGACGTCCAGCAGCTGCGCGGCCCGGCCCACCTCGGCCCGGGCCCGCTCCCGCTCGACCCGGGCCTCCTCCAGGCTGCGCTCCGTGGCCCGCAGCTGGTGCTCCAGCTCCGCGTTCCGCGTTTCCAGGTCCTACGGGGAGAGGGTAGGCAGTGTCGGGGGCCCCAGCGAGTCTCAAGGGTCCAGCATCTCCAAGCGGGTGCCGGGGACCACAGCCCTCACTCTGGGCCAAACTCTCCCTGTCTGCCGACTATCTCCCAGTTACCTGTACCCAAGACACTCCCTGGTCCCCCAGCCAATTTGAAGTGACGACATTCCTCCTCAAAATCCTCCTGTCACCCATTGTTCTGGGAATGAAATTCAGACCCCTCCCTCCTCTCCTTGCTCATTCCTGCTCAGGCTTTCTGGCTTCCTTGTGGTTCCTTGAATACCTTCTCCCCACCTCAGGGCCTCTGTATTTGCTGTGCACGCTGCCCAGGAGACAACAGGGAACATTTCCTCAAATACTCTCTCTTTGGGGCACCAGATCCTTTAACTTCTCCACCTGCTGGACTCGCAGGACATGCCCCTATGAATGTTCCTCAGATAGTCTTCAGTGAAAGCCAGGCCAGCCACATCTGGGTACAAATGCAAGCTTCTGGCCTCAGACAGGGGTGTGTGAGGATTTGATAGGGCTCAAGAATGGAAATTCAACAGAGACTCAAAAACTGCTTGTTGAATGAATGGAAGAAGATGAAACATTGTCCTAATAACCATCATTTAACTCAGTCCTTCCATGCACCTGGTTATCTGAATCTTTCACAACCTTAGATGTCTTCCTGACTCCATGTATAGGTGAAGAAACGGAGGTTCGGGGAGGCACACGGCTGCCCAGAACCCGTGAGAAGGGAAGATCATGTCCGTCCCACAGCAGGGTCTGGCTGCCGAGAGTAGTCACCACACCCCACCCCACAGCAACCACACATACCTGCACCTTCTGCTGTGTCTCCTCACGTTCAGCGGTGTCTGCGGCCTCACGGGACCCACTAGTCTGGCTCCTCAGAGTCTGGATCTCCTAGTGAAAAAGTTCCCAGAACCTGTTCTGAGCAGGAGACCAAGGAAGGCAAAGCCCGAGGAAACACACGTGCACACAGATGCCTTCACACACCTGGTCTTTAGTTTGCACCAGTGCCTCCAGCTGCTCCAATGACTGGCCGGGTCCCTCCTTCTCACTGCCTGCAGGTGGCTCGGCGGCAGCCTGGGCTTCCAGCTCAGCCACCTGGGCAGACAGGAAGGTCAGTTCCTGATGGCTCAGTCAGTACCCTCCTCACCCCCGGAATACGCCTCCTGATCAGTCAAGCCCATGACTGGGAATTCATCCCTTCACATCCAGGCCACTACCTCACCTCGGGCAGGCAGGACTTTAGGGTCTGACGACCCTCTGGGCCGACATCACTTCAGACCCACACTACGAAGCGAGAAACTAGGACTCTGGGAAGTGACCTGCCGAGAGCACGCATCCAGCCAGGTGAGCCCAGGACAGACAGGGGGCAGGGGCTTCAGTCACCCTTGGGCCACGTGGGGTCTTTGGGAGGGTGGGGCTTCCTCACCCGCTGCCGCAGCCTCTCAGCCTCTGCGCGCTGGGCCTCCAGCTGCTGCCTCCACTGGGCGGCGGCCGCGTTGGCCTCTCGCAGGGCGCCCGCCAACTTGTTGTTACTGTCCTGCAGCGCGAAGAACTCGGCCTCCCACTGCACCTCGCCCACGGAGCTGAGAGAGCACGGGAGTCGGCAGAGGGCGGGGCGGGGCCTCACTGGGCCGGGGGCGGGGCGAGGGCGGGGTCAAGAGATAAGGAGCTGGGGACGGCCCGGGGAGCCGGGGTCAGAGTAGGCCCTTCTGTGTCCGCTCCGCGAGACACAGTCCGCATGGCGAGCAGTATCAACCCATGGGATGTGGACAGAACCGGGAGGCGGGGAGGCACCCGTGGGTTTAGAATTAGCTGGGGGAGGTGTGGACGGGCCAGGGTTAGCCCCGAGGAATGGGTGAGGCAAGCGGAGTCGGCTCTGGAAGGGGCGTCATCTGGGTGTCTCCTCTCCAACCCAGGCCTGTACTGGGATCCCAGGCGTGGATCCACTGTCAGATCCCGCCACTTGAACGAGTCCCAACAGTTTCTGAGAACCTCCTCTCGGCTCCCCCACCTTTCGTCCTGCCACGCCCCTTGTACCCTGCGCTACCCCCTCACCCTTCGGACAGCATCTTTTTGAGCCGCTCGCGTTCAGCGGGGCCCGGGGCATCCGCGCTCTGGCTGCGAAATAGCTTCTCATCGCCGGGGCCATTGGCGCTGACGAGGGGGCTCGGAGGCACCTAAGGGAATGGATAGAAGTGAAGTCACAGTATGGCGTGGCTTCCGTTAAGGGCCAGTTAGGTCATGGTTGGGGTCAGGGCTAATGTCAGGGGTCATGACTGAGAGGGGGCAGGTCCTTCCTAGCACTGGGATCCGATCGTTCCTCTCCCCCCTCGCCCACCATCCATGGCCCCCGCATGGCCCCTGGGCTGTAGTTTGGTGCCCTGTCCCGCCTCCTTGCCTGCTGGGCTCTCACCGGCCCACCAGGAACAAACCTGATGTAGGCTAGCCTAAACCCAGGGAGAAAGATACTCATCATCTGCAGATCGGGGAGCAATCTGAAGCCTCGGTGCTATTCCCTCACCGCAATGACCTTTCCTGGGGCCAAATTTCAACAACTATTTAAAATTCCTAGGGGAAACCTACTCCATTGGGCTAAATTTATTGTGAATCTACCTGGTGCCTGGACCACAATCCTGAGGGCAGGGACCAGCCTACTTTTTTATCTCCTTAAGCCCTGTGCCCAGTCCTGGGCCTGGCACACAGTAGGTGGTCAATAAATGATGTTGAATAAGTTAGTGGGGGGAAATGCTCAGCGACAGTTTTTTATCCCACCCCACTACTTAGGGCTTCCCAGATGGCTCAGTGGTAAAGAACCCGCCTGCCAATGCAGGAGACATAAGAGACACAGGTTTGATCCCTGGGTGGGGAAGATCCCCTGGAGGAGGGCATGGTAAACCACTCTGGTATTCTTGCCTGAAGAATCCCATGAACAGAGAAGCCTGGTGGACTACAGTTCATAGGGTCACAAACAGTTGGAGACGACTGAAGCGACAGTATGCAAGTACGCACCACTACTTGGCCATTTCAACTTTCACATTTCAACTCGGCCACATGAGCTGGTTTTCTGGCCTTCCTTTATCTAACTTTCAGTCAGGCCTATGACATGCTCTCATGGCACCCACACCCTTTTCCGTGGTCCCTGCCATGGATCTAGTTTTGCATCATCAGTGAGCATTTGGTCCTGAGCACCGACATAGCATTTAGACCCCTCCCCTCCATACCAGTTGAGTTCCTGGCAGGCCTGGGACAAGGAGTGCTGACCTGGTGGGCAGTGAGCCCCAGGGCTGGACTGGTGAGTTCTCCCCCATCCTGAGATTTCTCCCGTGCCAGCCTTGCTGCTTCCTTCACTTCCTGGAACTTCTCAGCAAACTGAGGGATGAGGGATAGGAACAGACAGTCAACAAGCTCCCAGGCCCCTCCACCAGGGCCCCACCACACGACTCCCACCCAGCACCGGCCCTGTCTTTGGAAGAGAGGGAACAAGGCTTGGAAGATGATGCCCAAGGAACAGAGTGGGTATCAGGCTAGAGGGCAGGGGTGGGATGTTCACAGAGGCCACCTTGAGAAAGAGATCCCCTTTCCCTCTCAATCAGCTTATCTCAGTAAGGAGAGCCTCAGGTAGGTGCTAATCTGTGTTCATGCCTGGGACGCTTGTGACTATCCTTTGTGACAAAGAGAAAGCAGGTCTTGGACTTGGAGCCTCTGACAGGCACCTGCAGCCAGTGGGAAAGTAATCACCCTGTTCTCATTTTTGTTATGTTATAGTTTACATTAATCTCCCATACCTGTTTTCCAGCTAGGGTAGGATTCACTTTTTTTTTTTCATTTTATTTATTTATTTTTGGCTGCACCAAGCGGATTGGGGGACCTCAGTTCCCTGACCAGGGATTGAACCTGGACCATGGCAGTGAAAGCCTGGAATCCTAACCACTAGGCCACCAGGGAACCTTTTTTAAAAAAATGTGTTTATGTATTTATTTATTTTGGGTTGTACTGGGTCTTCATTGCTGCTTGGGTTTTTCCCTGGTTGCAGCGAGCAAGGGCTACTCTCTAACTGCAGTGCACAGGCTTCCCATTGCAGCTTCTTCTGTTACAGAGCACAGGCTCTAGGGCACGCGGGCTCAGCAGCTGCGGCTCCTGGGCCCTGGAGCACAGGACCCACGGTTATGGTGCACGGGCTTCATTGATCCGCAGCATCTAACATCGCCCCAGTCCAGCGATTGAACCTGTTTCTCCTGCATTGGCAGGTAGAGGCTTTACCACTGAGCCACCTAGGAAGCCCCCCACCTTTTTAAATTTTAAATAAATTTTTTTAGCTTGAAAGTAATGTTAAAAATATTTACAGTACATAGCCCCTTGGTTTGTGCAAAGGGGCCAGTGCAATTCATTGGGGGTATTGGGGGTAGGCAGTGTTTTCAAAAACTGTTCCAGGATTTCTCTGGTGGCCCAGTGGTTAAGACGCCACACTTCCAGGGCAGGGGGTGCAATCCTCAGCTGGGGAACAAAGATCCCATATGCCACATGGCGTGGCCAAAAAAAAAGTCCCAAGAGCAACTGAATACTCATATGTGAAAAAATACTCCTACTTTATACCGCCTGCAGAAATTAATTCAAGATCTAAATTTGAAAGGGAAACTAATGCTTCTAGAAGAAAAGAGAAGAAAAGCATCTCAGAGAGCATGAAACATACAGGGAAACCATTAATAAGACAATGCCAAATTCTAGAAACAGCAGAGGGTGGAGGGAGGTGGTAATGAAGGAAGTGCCAGGGGTGTGGGGAAGCACTCAGCCCAGCAAAGGCACCCAGAGAGGAGCAGGGTGTGTTCAAAATCAAAGCAGGTGGCCAACTGAGCTGGGATGTGGACCAGGGAAGTGGGAAGGGGCTACAGGCTGGTTCAATTCTGTATGCCCATTCTGTCGCTGGGAAGACGGAGGCCCAGCATCTATCTGTCCAGGGTCCCCCAGTACACACAAGAGGAGACCCAACCCCAGCCCTGCTCCTCCCACCATGTACCCCCGCGGGCCCACCTGAGTCAGATGCTGTTCAGAAGCAAAGCCAAGGCCATAGACAGTGTTGGCGCGGCTGTCTGCCCACTGTCCAAACTTCTGGGAGGTTTTAGTGAAGGTCATGTTGGGAGTGACAGTGCTGTTGATGATGGCCTGGGGGAAGGTGGGGTTGGGGAGAAAAGTTCACAGGTAATAATCAATAGGAAACCCCCAGAGAAAATCGCCTTGTGTTAGTCCTTCTGTGCTAAGTCGCTTTAGTCGTGTCCGACTCTTTATAACTCTATGGACTACAGCCCACCAGGCTCCTCTGTCCATGGGATTCTCCAGGCAAGAGAATGGGAATGGGTTCCCATGCCCTCTTCCAGGGCATCTTCCTGACCCAGGGATCAAACGTATGGCTCCTACGTCTCCTGCATCAGCAGATGGATTCTTTACCACTAGCACCACTTGGTTTGAGCCATTTCAGGAGGAAGATGGAGACCCAGAAAAATTCAGAGTATCCCCTGGCCCCCAAGGCACACAGCAAGGCAGTAAATGGACCTAGTCCTGTCCCTGGGATCCTTGGGACCTGCCACCCCACCCAGGCCCCACCAGGACCTTGGCACCCCCAAGGCTGATGATTCGGTAGACGTTGCGGGTGGCATCGTAAAAGTAGGAGACAGTGAGTGCGTGTTTGCCCGCAGGGATCCAGTTCCGCTTGGTGGCCGGGTCGATCTGGAACACGTGTGCCCGTGTGCTGAAGATGGGCTGCTCCCTGTGTGGGGACAGGGTGCTCAGTGGGAACCAGACACACCCACCCCCGGGAACTCAGGGTCAAGCTGGCAGAAGTAGGGGCTCACCTGGCTGTGGACATTGGTCAGGCTGGTCTGGGTGGGCTCCAAGTGGCAGCCAGTGGGACGGTAGGAACTGCTGGTTTGGCCTCTGGAGGGAGAGGGGGTTTGTGAGTGTCCCCCCTGCCAGGATGAGGGAGGCCAAGCACATCTAACCCCAGGACTGCACTAGCAAGTACACCATTCACAGAATTTCAATCCAAAAGTGAAGGGAATGTAGCCTGCCAGGTTCCTCTGTCCATGGAATTCTCCAGGCAACAACACTGGAGTGGGTAGCCATTCCCTTTCCCAGGGGATCTTCCGAACCCAGAGATCAAACCCAGGTCTCCTGCATTGCAGGAAGACTCTTTACCATCTGAGCCACCAGGGGCCATCTCCTGTCCTGAGTGTTGCAGGAACATCCTCCAGATGGAGGTGGCCTCTGACAGGAGCCAGGTGGCACCTGACATCCCAGCATAAATCTCACATCTTTCTGCTTCCAGGACTCCCAGTGAAGTCTTCTCTATCTCTGGGCTGGGCCCAGGAGGCCAAGGCCAAATCCTGTGCAGTACCTTCTGACATTCATCCATCACTCTTCAAAGCAGGGGCCTCCATCAAAAGAGTGGGGTGATAGCAGGTGCCTACTGGGACACCTGTCCCCCACAGGACCCCCAAAGAAACCCCTCAGTTTCCACTCTAGAGCAGAGGCACACCTTGGAGTCAAGACCAAAAATCCCCAGGGAGCCTGCAACCTAGTTAAAAAGACAAGATGTGGCTGAACAGGTCCACTGGGCCGGCTCACCCATCACCACTGAATCCCAGTACGTGCGGCTGGGTGGGGACCAGTCCCGGAGAGACCCGGGGGAGGGCAGGCAGACCGAGGGAAGGGAGGCCGGGACTCTGGAGCCCCCGTGGTCAGAGGGGGGAGTGCACCCCCTCCCTCTGGGCAGCTGCTGTCCTGGTCACAGGGTCTGAAACCGGAGCTCGGGGTGGGGGAGGGGCGGTGACTTTGGCCGGCGTTGGGGGTGGGTCCCGGGTCGAGCCGGGGTTCCGGGGGCGCAGGGGTCTCAGACACTCGGGTCCCTCCTGCCCGTCTGGACGCTCCTGCCGCGACTTGCTGCACTGGGGAAAGTTACTCACCAACTAGTCATGTGCCTCGGACGCCGCCGGCCGCGGGGCTCCCCAAGAGGAGCTCGACCCCGCCCGGTGTCCGGGATCCAACACTGCATTTGGTGGTCGAAGCCCCACCCCACGAGCCCCAGTCCAGGGAATCGGATATTCATTCGGGATCAAGACCCCACCCGCGTCAGGACCAGGACGCCCCAACTTCGGGAAGTGTCGCCCCCAGCCCTGGAACTTCCAAGATCCCTTGCCACGGCCCTGCAACACTCTGGGTCCAGAACTTCGGGGACACGTTATCTACCTCCTGCAACCGCAGGTCCAGAACTTAGGGGATCCTTCGCGCTTTCCCTGACTCCTGAACTTCGGGGACCCCCTGCCACTCTTCCATTCCCAGGTCGGGAATTTCGGGATTCCCTCGGGTCGCCCCTCCACCCCAGGTCCGGAACTTCGGAGACACCTTCACAGCCATCTCCAAAGACGGGGCCGGAACTTCGGGACCCCCTCCCAATGTCCCCTCCCTGACCCCGACTCCGGAACTTCGGGGTCCCCTGCCCTCTCAAGCTCTGGCACTTCGGGGCTCCCCCAGCCTCCCCCAGCCTCCGTATCCCGAACTTCGGCGACCCCCCCAGTACCCTCTCCGGGGCTCTGGAACTTCGGGGCCCCCCGCACCCCCAGCGCTGGCTCGGTTGGCCGGGCTCACCCTGCCGGCTCGGCGCCCCGCAAGTGTCCGGGCGCGAGACGGGTGCCGCCCCGCGGCGCCGACTCCCCGCAGCCCGAGAGGAAGAGAAGGATCGGGGGCAAGAGGTTAAGAAGGGTGCGGAGGGGGACAGTCAAAGGGGCAGGGCCAGAGATGCTGACCCAGAGACAGGAGCGGCAGAGACACAGGCGACAGGCAGACAGACCTCGGCGGACAAAGGAGAAGGTGGCCTCATCCCCCTCTCAAGGGTGTATGTGGGGGTGTCCCCGATCCTCTGGGCCACGGCTGCTTTTGTCTGTGATGGGGAGTCAGGGCCCTCTTCACCCGAAGGGAGTCCAGGTGCAGGGCGCATCTGCCCCTAGGTGGACGGACCCAGGCGTGGCTGGTCCTCCGTGCCTGTATGCGGGAAATGAAGAAAGTGACCTTGGCGAGAGGAGGCTGGAAGATGAGAGAGAGGCGAACAGCAGGCGCCTAATGGGGCTTGACCCCAGGTGCCCTCTCAGATCCCTTCCTGCCTACTCTCCCACCCCACTCTGATCCCCAGGGGCGAGCTTTTGTCCACCTTGGGGCTTCTGTGTCTCCCCGATCAGCTGTCACAGTGCTGATGAGGTTGGATTAGGATTATCATTGCTGTTAAAAGGTCCCCAAATCCCAGGTGGGGGGAATGTCCATGTCCACTTGCCACCGAATGTGTGAATTGCCTGGAGGTCCACAGGCCTGGGCTTGTCACTACTGCTCGGAGTCCATGCCTTCCTACACTTCTAGACGGAACTTCTAGAGCTGAGCCAGGATCTCCTGGTCCAAGCCTGCGGAGCCCCCTGGTCAGTCCCAGCTACACCCTCTCTCTGGAGGCTCCTCCAGAGTCACACAGTGCATGGACACCGGGTGCATGGACAGGGGGTGCATGGACAGGGGCACCGAACCAAGGAAGGCCTGCACTTCCGCGAAGCTCTGAGCCTCACCTGTGTGACCCCATGGACTGTAGCCTGCCATCCTCCTTTGTCCACGGGATTCCCCAGGTAAGAATACTGGAGTGGGTAGCCATGCCCTCCTCCAGGGGATCTTCTCCGCCCAGGAATGGAACCTGCATCTCTTATGTCTCCTGCATTGGCAGGTGGGTTCTTTACCACTAGCACCACCTGGGAAGCCCACATTCAAGGTTTTTTGCTTTTTCTCTCCTCTGACTCCTTTCCCTGTTCTTGTCTGTCTGTTTCCCCCACATCTGAGCTGGTCGCTCCCTTCAAATTACCTTTAGGTGAATCCTAGGTCATGTCGTTTCTGGAGCCTTCATCCCAGGCCAAGATCTGAGTTTTCCTCCCTCCCAGCCTTTGCCGAAGCTGTTCCCTCCAACTAGAATGCCCTTCTCAAAGGCCTGTATTCTGTTTTGTCCTTCTAGGTTCAGCTCCTCTGCCCCCTCACCTCCCAGATGCTTCTCTGACTATCCTGAGCTTGGTAGGGACCTCACCCACCCCTGCTGCACCATCCCATCCCTTTCTGGGGGATCTCTGATTGATTTACTGGTTCGATTGTGGCCAGAACTGACCCATCCTCGAGCCTGAACCTCTCTCAGCGTGAGGGGGACTATCACTCCAGCTCAGGAAACAGAGCCACAGACTCACTTTCTCCACCTGCCTCTAACTTCACACAGCATCTGCATAAGCAAGGGATTTGGCTTCGCTCTCAGGCCCAAAGCCACAAAATGCTTGAACACTGTAGGGAACAAAGAAAATACCGTCTGTTCCGTGCAGAGAGTGACTTTTCCTTATAACCAAAAAAAAAAAAAAAAATGTAAAAAAAAAAAAAAAAAAAAATGTAACTGGGAAGGTGCTGGCAGGGCCGAGGCTTTTGGAAGCCACTCAGTGTGTGCTGAGTACTGGCCGGCTGTAGAACTGGGGCCAAGTGGCTGTTCTGTGGGGGCAGGTGGGCGAGGAGCCTAGGCAGACTTTACCTTACGTGGGCAGGAGGCAACAGCGTGATGGAGAATGGGGTCCCCTCTCAAGTCTCCAGGAAGGATTGGGATGGAGCTGGCCTTGAGCAGCCCTGACCTGCAGTTGTCTTAGTCCAGTTCAAACTGAGAGAATGCTTCTGTCAGTGTAGACTCGGCTTTCTTGCCTGGAGAATGGGCTGATGCTCATGGAGGAGGCAGGAAGAATCCAGGCAACACCATCAGCCTCTCACTTTTCCCCGGGCGGAGATGAGTAGGAGGCTGCCCTGAGCTGCCCCTGCCACCTCAGCCTGCGCCTCTTCTGCGTGGTCCTTGGGCCTCTCTGAAAGGACTGGGAATGTCCTTGAGGGACGAGCAGAGGCCGCCAGCCCAAGGTGGTTAGAAACGACAGCTTCCTCTTGGGGCTGAGGAAGGACTTGAGGGAACGCGCTTCCTGCCCTGGGAGGAACCAAGCAGGAAATAGAACAGCTCATTCGGCCCTCAGCTCAGCTCAGTTCAGTTGCTCAGCCATGTCTGACTCTTTGCGACCCCATGGACCACAGCACTACAGAGGAGCTCTTATAGGTGAGGCTCTGGCCTCTGTCTCGTTAAATCTGACCCAGACTTTGGGCTGAAGTTATATTGTCTCTCTTCCCTGGAGGGTTCCTGTCCCACCAGAGCAGCAAAGAGGGGAGAGTGTCTGTCACTATTCCCCAAAACCACATGCCCAACCTCATGGCCTGGAATACAGGGACCACTCAGGTTTATGTCATGATTTGGTTACTGCCTACTTTGTTCAAGCCTCTGTCCCACCACCTAGAGCAAGTCTGACTTGCAGCAGGAACTCTGTTAAATGTTGCCAGCAGGAAGAGATCCCAAGGGCCCTGCCTAGGTCCTTGGTGGCCTTCAGTGTCACATGAGCCAGGGTGCCTCTTACCAGCAGAGTGATCTTAAAGAAGTCACTTTCCTTCCCGGTATTTTAGTTTCCCCATCTATAAAACATGCGTTAAGAATGGTACCCACTTCTGAGGCTTCCTGTAAGGCTCCAATATGGCCTGGCATGAAGAGGGCATGACCCTAGGAGCTTAATAAATGTCTGCTCGTTATAAACATCATAGTTATTCTTGGCTATCTGGACAGGCGGTTTTGATATGAGCCAAGTTCTTAAGACTTTCAGGGTTTGAAGGGTCCCAACCAGATGTGAGCTCCTGAGGACAGAAATGGGTCCAACGTGGCATGATATCCTCTAAATCTTTAGCTCTGGGCCCTTCCTCTAACCACCCTCCTTCTCCTACTCCCTATGGCCCCAGGCTTGCCAGCTGGGACAGCCACAGGATCATATCCTCCTAGCAAACTCCTATTCATGTCTCAAACCCCTACCCACCCCGCCCATGCCCTCTTCTCTAAGAAGGCTTCTTTCCTGCTAAACCCTCCCTAACACACTCCCTCCTGGTGGAAGTGTCTGTGTTCAGGGCTGACTCCCCCAGCCCGAGGGTATCTCAAGGGCTCAACTGAGGCACTTCTTGGATTTGGCGTCTTCCAGAATGGGTTAGCTGCATGGGATTCATGGCAGAGGAAAGTTTGATTATTCTCAACTCACACACAAAAACTGACCCCACCTTAAATTCAGATCTATTTCAATTTCTGCCAAAGGCCAAGGTTAATTCATTAAACAAACAGTCCCCAGGAAGTAATGAAGACAGGTACCCACCTCCCCCACCCCACCCCAGCCCAGCCCAACCCCGGCACGAAGGGGCTGGGGCAGGGAGTCTGGCACTGGATTATGGACTAGACCTCCCAGGACCAGGGTGGGTTGAGGGTTAGGGAAGCAGAACTTGAGCCCCCTCCAAACTCCAAACCTGGATCCGTGGTTTGGTTCCCACAGACCTAATTACCCTCATTTGCCACATGCACTAATTACCTCCGTTGTACCAGGTGTCTGGGCGGGGCTGCCCCACTTTCGGGAGGTAGGTCGGGCCCGATTATTTTTGGCTGTGCCGTCCTTGAAGGCTCTACCATCCATTCATGTCAAGGGCAGAAAGTGGGGCAGAAAAACCAGGACCACATCAGGAGAGACAGTGGGAGACTTGAGAGTCAAGTTGGCCTAGGATTCCCCTGAGCAGGGGATTTGGGCCTAAGACTGAGGGTCTTTGGCACTTACCTGCAGCAAAACCTGGAGAGGCTGAGACTCATTCATCTCCATGGTGGATTGGTCTGGAGGCCTGTTTTGAATGTGAAATAATTGGTGAGAGAGGGCTTGGA